AATATTCATATTTTATATAAAAAAATTTTTATTGGGTTTATTAATAAATTACATGTGTTATGTTAAATAAATTGACCGCCATTACTTTTGGTGAAGACTGTATATACTTTTCTATAATACTATTCAAACATAAGTTTTTTAATTTAGAATATATTGTATTAATATATTGTGAATCTTTTATAAGGATCTCTCTAGAAATATGTTAGATTAATAATGATATTAAAGATTTTAAAACTACTTGATAAGCTTGCTCTTTAACTTTGCTAACTTTTTATCAAACTTAGAAGTGGAGGATTTCTTCTTATATGTCTTTTTCATAGGTATTCTATTTTACATTACTTTTTTTTATAGCATAGCAATTTCAGGGCTCATTATTATTATCTGATCCCAAAAGGACCTCTTCTATTTCCTCTTTTCTCTCTTTATCATCATTATCTTCTAATATATATTCTTCTTCAGACTCTTTAGAATCTTTCTCATCATTTACTGAAGACGTTAAAGCATGATATACATAATTTACCTTCTTAGTTCACTTAATTTCAGGATAATTGACTTTTGTATGATTAACCTTGCCACAGTTAGAGTAATGACAAATAATTTTGCTAACCATTTTTTTTGACATGACTTTTTTAACAACTTTTTTTGTAACATATGTATTTCTAACTTATAACTTTACAAAAAAACTTTTTCTAACATAAGCTACTTTTCGTTCTAACCTTTTATCAAGTTTATTATTAGGATTGGATCAGTTCTGATAAGACTAGTTTTGGACTGGTTAATGGGATCAGTCCTTACAATCCTCAGTCCTAATTCTGAAGATCAGTTCAAATCAGTTCATATAATATATAGCATACAACTATAAAATAATTAATTTATAAATAAGGTTGTGGTATTACCTTTAGGTTTTAACTAAGGTTGAATAAGACCATTCTTAAATTGATTATTTAACCTAATCATTGATCCTAAGATTTTAAATACCATTTTTTGTTTATATTATAGTTGAATTTCACTATAATGAATTTAAATAATAAATAACTAATGAATTAAAGTTACAAGGTTATGATTAAAGATGGGAACTGTAATTTATATGTTGCAACTTTTAATGTTGCAACTTACGTTGCAATTAGTTTTAACCTATATATGTTGTAACTTATAATGTTGCAATATATGTTACAACTAATTTTAGCTTATGTTGCAACATTTTGTAAATTTGAAATCAATTGCTATACCATCTTTAGTTATGATTGTTCTTAGCCAGATATAGATTAACCAAGTGTTGGGAAATTCGATAATTTTAGATAGTTTTGAACAGATTTTGAACACAATTTCATATGTCCAAAACCTTGTCTAAAATTAAAAAATATATCTAAAACCCATTACTAGATTAACCTATTTCTATTGATCTTGAATATCATGTAGAAGTGGTAAGCTTTATTTAGGTTTTTTTAACAGAATTCAAAAAATATTTATAAAAAAATGAATAAAAAGGAATAAGCGAAGATAATGAAAAATATAAAGAAAAGAGAGACTAGTTAAAATTATAAAATATGAAAAAAGAATGAAGATAGTTAGAAAAAGAGTGATAATATTAGAAAAGAAAAGTAAGAAGCAGATTATTAAAAATTATTTTGGGTTTTAGATTGAGAAGAATTATTAGGAAAAGGAGTTGGTGATTCTAAAAAATATAAATTTAAATTTATGTTAAAATAATATTGAAATTAAACTATTTAAATTTTTTATCTTGATTTCTGATGGCTAATCTCAAATGTCTTCTTTCTTAAATTTGAGATGTTAAATAATATAAATATTAAATTTTAATAATAATTTTCTTTAATTAAATATCAATTGGAAAGTTTATTATTTTAACCTGATCTCTCCTAAAATAGGATTTCAAATTATTTCCCAAAAACTTCTCTAATATACGTCTACTTTTCTTTTACATTCCTATCAGCATATAATTCAAACAACTAAAGAATTAAAATTATTAAATTATTATTATAAAATACAATTAATATAATATTATTATTCTTTCATTTACTTACTTTACAATTCCTATCCATTCCTTTTAGAGCTTTGAATTAGGTCAGGTCAACCTGTAACCTGACCTGACCTAAAAATTGACAAATTTTCAGGGTAACATCAGGTCAACCAATCAAATTAAATGAAATAAAATATTTAAAAAAATATTTTTTTTGATCTATTTTTTTTAAAACATTTTTAATTTTATTTAATATACTTTTTTTTTATATTCTAATAAAGTTGTTTATATAAGTATTTTGTAATTTATTATAATCAAAAAGTTAAATTGTAAATTATAAATATTTATTATAATTATATTGACCAACAAATTATTTTTAATTTTTTTTTATCTGTTCAATTACTTCAAAGAGATATTTGAGCATTTTGGTCAAATTTTAACTTATTATATTAGTAATCTAAAATAATAAAGTGTAAAAATATATCAATATTTTTTAATATTTTTTTAAAAAAAATATTAAACAAAGTTAATAATTGTTTAGTTTCTTATTAATAATATTACTTTCATATTTGAATATAAATATTATTAAACTAGTAAAACTAAAAAAATTTCTTTTTTAAATAAGTCAGATCAAGTCAGGTCAGATCAAATGTATATAATTCAGGTCAATTTTATGTCTAACTCAATCTGATTTTATCAGATTAAGTCAAGTTAAATCTGTTTAGAGCTCTAATCCCTTTAAATTTTTTTCTTTCTTGCAACTCATTAAATGCAGTTATAACCTTTCTTGTATCAATGCTACAATTTCATTCTAAAAATCAACTTTGATCTTCTGAATCTTCTTCAATAATCATCATTTTTTTCCTTCTTAAGTCAATCAAAAGTTGCATTTTTTCAGACTACTCGATAGTGATAAGCATTTTATAAATTATTATTTGAGAAATTGTCAATATAAAAGATTGAACAATTAAAATAACAAAAATATGCTAAAACTTTTCTTATATAAAATTATATCAAAACATGTCAGCATTAAATACATTCAATGAGTTAGCAAAATATCTAATTTTTATGTAAAATTTCAAAGAAATGATCTAATTTTTTAGCAATTTCAAAATTTACACAGTTTTCATAATTGATATTTTCATAATTTTAAAATTTACACAGTTTTTATAGTTTTGCAATTACAATTTCAAATTTGAATTACAGAAATTAAATAAATTGAATCAATAAATTAATTACTACTGATTTAACACTGATTAATTTTAGATTCAATACTAAGTAATCTAAGGTTCAATACTAATTAATCCCTACAATATAATAAAATAACATTTTTTTTAATAGTTATACAAAAAAAAAATTCATTATATCTCTTAAATTTAATTTAAAAATTTGTTATATAAAAAACTTCATTAATAAAGTCTTATTTATTATACTTGGTCAGAACTTCAATTAATAGTAAGTTTTATTATAAAAATTTGTTATATAGTCAACTCTCTCTATAATCACACATTTGGAATATACTATATGAAGTGATTATAAAGAGATATGGTTATATGCAAAAAAATTTTTTTTTTAATCATATTTTAACAATAAATACATAAATGTGATTATTAAAAGATATACATTTTATTTATTTATATTACTTTACTATATTGCAATTATAACTTTTGTAATTTATTGTGTTAAAATCAAAAACTAAAACCCAATTAAATATTACATTAAAAGAATTAAAGATTAATGATGTAATATTAAAAGTATTTTAATTAATAGAAAAATATTCTCCAATTGACTGTTATTATAAAAATGAAATATAACTAAAGATAAGAACTATAATTAATATGTTGCAACATACGTTGCAATTAGTTTTGACTTATATATGTTGCAATTTATAATATTGCAATATATGTTGCAACTAATTTTAGCTTATGTTGTAACATATTTTAAATTTGAAATTAATTGCTACACCATCTTTAAATATACAGTCAATGACCAAAATTATGCGAACAATTTTTTTTTACCAAAATTGGGCAGATTATTATATGATCACGAGATATAAACATTACATTTTTTTATTTATTTATATGATAAACATGAACATAAAATTTTTAGCTATTTCGTTTTTAGTTAAAGCTTTATGAAATTATGAAGGCACTTACCCCAAAAACCTGTGGTGCTATTATTTATGGTAAAAAATGTGGACAATCAGCTCGCACTATTGCTAAAAATTTGGGTTGTAGTAAAACAACTGTTTATAATACACTTAAACGCCTTTGTCAAACTGGTTTTTTCACACCAAAAAAACAAACTGGCCACCCACCACTCCTTAATACACCATTTTAACAAGAGCTTAAAGCCTTTGTTTAAGAAAATGGTGAAAATCGTTGGTTTTATGCAAAAAAACTTTCAACTATTTGGACATCTTGTTTAAAAAACCCCATTTCTGCATTTACTATATGTCGTACCCTTAAAAAAGTTGGACTTAGTGCTCGTATTCCTCGTCACAAACCTGCAATGACAGAAACACATTGTCAAATTCGTCTTGAATGGGCTCACACACATGAAAAATGGACAACAAGACAATAGAGAAAAGTGCTTTTTTCAAATAAGAGTACTTTTACACAATTTCAACAAGGATGCCAAGGAAAAGTATGGCGTGAACCAGGAGAAGAATTGAACCCTGATTGCATTTCAGTTACTGTAAAACACAGTCCAAG